CGAACCGGGCCGGTTTATACTTCTTTTCGCTAATCGGTAAAACGTTGACAAAACAAAATGCTTGAAATGTCTCGTGTGCAATTATATAATACAACGTTCTTTGAATGACCTAACGTGATTGATAAATAGTATCCTTTCTTTTCTTGATTAGGTGCGCTACAACTTCTGTAGTTTTTTTTCTTGTTTCATTCATAGAAATAAATTTAGAAATAGAACAATGATGTACTGTTGTACACTGCTGATATTTTCCGCGGTTGCAAATACCCGTTCCAAATAAAAAGAAGCATTATTTAAAACGAGCGTACGATCCAATAATACGCGCGATCGAAATGGCCTGAATACATTACTGTTTCCATTTAACAGTCCCTACATCGACAGGAAACATCTTTATGCGTATACGGAGAGGCCCTGTCATGTGTCGATTCAAAAATAGGTTCGACCCAGAAAATCCTGTATATGTATAACGCAAGACAGATGTCAATTGTCACTTCCCGTTTCGCGCGTCCCGATCACAATGAGGAACGCTACGCGGAGATCCCTTCCTGAAAGGACACGTGCAAACTCCTTTTTCCCTTCTAGGCTACGGTGGTAAAGCTGCACGATAAAGGGCAGATGTTTGGGAACCTTCTTAAAGATTTCGGAAGGGAGAGGGTCTCTTTTTCAGGGCCCTTCGCCCTACTCTTTGAGATGCTATAATAAAGGATCCGACCAAACCGTACCTGTGAGCGGCCGTGAGCCCATTGTGCGATTAAGCAGATGTTATCCAGTGAATGCGCAATGTATAATATGAACCGTGAACAAAGGAACGCGATTTTTCTACTTTGGCATCAAAATTTTTGCGCTTTCCTCCGTAAGTGCAGCCCGGAAGACACTAATTTATTCTGCATGTGTAAATTCTTACGAAATCACGGATTCGATCACGAATTTTCATTATTAATTTGAACTTTCATCCAATTGATACAACACAAATATTACGACAGCAATTCCAAACTCAATTTGATACCATCTCATTTTATATTCGCATTCATACTATAGAATAGACGTAACAATGGGTATGCTTCTGCGAATTGCGTTAAGACCGGTGCGTATCACATATGAGTGTCGGAGTTGTAAATCCGTTTCCCGTCGATCTCAGCGCTCAGGGCCGAGGTCAACCAACAGCAGAACGTAGCAGACTCCGATCAGTCTCTACTTTCTGTTTTTATTCACCGCTGGGACTTTTGCCAACGGATTCTATCTCTCAAAGGGGATTAAAGCTATCATGGTAAAATAGCCTCGTTACTAAGTACCGATCCTCTTATATTGACTCTGCCAAATTACTTAATTATGATCATATTATCACTAAATATTTATCGTCTTCGGGCTTCGACAAAATTTTGTTATCTTCAATTGAACAACGAAATAATTAAGAGCGATCATGTTTAAGTAAACTTCGATTGTTTTTCATGAAAATGTATTTAAAGTAAATAAGTTTCATGAATGGGAGAAAACATAAGATCAGATGTTTTTAATTATTCATAGTATGATTTGTGTGTTAAAAACAAGATGAAGTATCGCAATAAGTAATTTGGTTTGTAGGTAAGTATTTCAAACAAATACACATCGCCCCTACAGATTTAAAACTCTAGACACGTCCATGCTCTGAAAACGGGAATTTAAAGCAGACAGGAATGAATCAACGAGATGACGCCTCTGAACGAGTCACTTTTAAATTCCCAGGACCGTCGGTCATAAGACACGTGCGTGCGCGTCAGACGCATTTAACTTCCTAAGTATTTTAAACGAAAGAGGAATTTCTCTGGATATACAAATACACAGACACAAGAAAGAATTTGATGAATAATTTAGATGTTCAAGGCCTAGGTAGCAACTGTCTCAAGTTAAATGATAAATCGTCAAAGACTTTAATAGAGTGGGTTAATTTGAGAAAATCAGGAATCGAGAGGAGCATTAATTGTTCGAATATGTGCATTCAGTAGTTTGGTGCATATGAAAACTAAATTAATCCATTTTTAACCTGATTCATAATAATGGACAATGAAACAAAACATTGTAGATAGTTTTCGATCGAAAAATGGGAAGTTATGGAACAAAACGACCTTTCATACACACTAATCTAATTTAATGTGATCCGTAGTGAGAGGAGTTCTTACGCGGCATCTTTCGAGAAGTTTCCCGTTGGATGAAAGCGGACATGCGCCCAGCAGTATCTCAGGACGTGGTCGTGGTCGAACGATGCGATGGGACGAGGAGCGAGCAACCTCCGTACCGTACCCTTGAACCTAGCAGACGTTCGCGCTGTTGCCGCTTCGTGCAACTATGCCGTGCCGTCTCGTTCGGCCACGCTCGGCTTCCCTCGGCTTTGTGCTTTCTTCGCAAGAATTCCGCGTCCGGCGTCGTTGGTGGCTGGCGCGACGCCGAGCAAGCTGACGTCACGCCACAGCGTTACGCATAGCGTTACGTAAAAAACGTGCTCTTAACATATGTATATATGTATGTATGCCTCCACTTACTACGCGTTGCGATGCACGCTGTACGGAAGAAAAATAGACAGAAAATTTGTAACCACGTACTATCGGGGAAAATACGTTCACTGTTCATTGATTTTTATGATATACGTTAACAGGTTTTTCTTTCGGCGATCATTGGCCTTGTTCTCGATCTAGGTTACTCGATCATCCTTTTCCAGCAAGATTTCCGTGACTGCAAACACGTTGACATCACTTATCTCTAAGAAAAAAGCATATACCGTGAACTTGATCATTGCATTGCTATCGCATTTTGTGATTTTCATCGTGATAAAGTCGTACTATATTAATTAAAGTGTTATCATTGAATTTGTTCAACGAGAAACGGGACTTTTTACTTCTTTTTATATCATAGTAGCACATTGGCCTTGTCGTAATATGTACATAGTACATTCAATACTTGGGCTGTGCTTGAACATGCTTTCTCCACAAGAATTTCATATCTATGTATCTATGTCCTGTACACGTAGGCGACTAGTACAGACAACATTGAGCTGACGTCACGTGCAACGCTGCGCGTAGCGTTACGTAAAAAAACGTGGCTGACGAGTCAGAAAGACATCAGTCTCTTACTATTAAGGCCGTACGATGAATCGGCTCTGTACGGTAAAGCAACGAAGCTGGCATAAGTTCGTTACGATGGGCGATAGCTGACGTAGACTGAAGAATCGTCTTACGGTCTTACGTCTACAACTTAATACGAGAATAACCGTCGAGTACACAACTCGGACATAAGATAATTATAACGATTGTATGAAAAGATTCACTGCACTCTAATCGCTGGACTTAGCGATTGGATCACTCCAAATATAGCTCAAAAACTGTTTAAACAAAAGAAAGAATTGTTAGTTGGAAACTCACATAATTCTGATGACTTTTTCCTAATGAACCAAACAATAATACTTATCAACGAAACATCAGTTTATCGTAAATCGAGACTTAAATTAAAGTCTTCCTTCCTTTACCTCTCCGTTACTCTCACTCTTTCTTTTTCACCGAGTCTATCTCCCGTTCGCACGCTCGTGTGCCATTTACGAGGCAAACCGGTTTACGCTTTTTGCGTGAACCTCGGCTTCGCGAAGAATGTTGATTTTTGCGATATATACCGCTGGGAACCTAACCTACATCATTAACCGGATGAGCTGGCCAGCCGCATTCGAAGTCTCGTTTCCACGCAGACCTTGAGGATTGTCGTCGTGTCATTTTATTTTTCGTTTCCATTATTAACGCGATGCATTCAAGGGTATTCGAGACGAATGTCCACGAGGCTCGTGACGCGAAGAACAAAACGGCTTTCTCGATCTTATAATGCACAAGCCTATTGGTATCGATGAAATGACACGCGCGTAGCGTCATACGTGCGTTCAAAGACAAACTGACGAAAAAAAGATGAAAAATTCAATCACGACGCACCAGGTACGACTTCATGGTCGAGGACAAATATGGCGACATCGTTTCTTATTCGCGGCACGAATTGTCGCCGAAAATATTTTTACTACCGAACGCGGACGGCATGAGCTATCGTTGATTAGCGTAAGTGGTTATTGTTCTCACTAACCTACAGCGTGCGCGGTATGCTCATTATGATTTTTCGTTCGCGGCAGTACTGCCAAAGAGTAACGAGTCTTTCGATATCTCACTTAAGCTCCAATCTTAAGCAGATACGTCCGCGTTAATCGTTCGCTTCCGTGATGAAAGGAACGATATTATTTGGATAGTAAACTTTACTTTTATCATTTTTCAATTAGGGCTTTGTTCATAACGATCAGACAATCACATTAAATGCTACGTAGTGTTCCTCTCGATGCAAGTACTTAAATAAATAGGTCTTACTGTGCAATCGAAAACCGGTTAGACGAAACTTTCGAAAATTCCAGAATGACGTAGTCTTTCTCGCGTGGATTTATAGATACTTATGCACCGTGAAGATGCAGACAGTGTTTCCCTCCCATCGTTCTTCATTTACAGTTACTTACGTAAGCTACGAGCTTCGTTTCTTTACTGTTCGACGCATGGCAATCAGCTCGGTCACATTTTATGGAACGTAAAAAAAAACACGTTTGTTAAACGCTATCGTTCGACTGATTACCAGAATGACCATAACGATATTTCGCAAAAAAACAAAGAAAAATGCTTTCTACGAATGTAAATTTCTTCTACTTACCTTGATTATATTATCAATCGTCGTAAAGTCGTGATAGAACACATGTCTGATAATACATCACACTCAAACGCACACAAGGAAAATCATAAAAATATCTTCCGTTTTTTATAAACGTTTTTAGGAAAGCGTAAAAGCATTTAACAACCAAAGACAATTATGGTTGAATGAAAAAAAAGGAATACGATATTAATTTGCGATTCCAATTTATGGAATGCATTATTTCGCTCGATTAAGAACTATGTAAATTGCGGGGTTTAATGTTGTACGTCTAGCATGAATAGACATATACATTAAAAAACGGTACTCACGTTACTGCTGGAAAATCGGCGCTTATCGGAGGAGTCTTGGGAACATTGTTCGGACTTAGCCTCTTTGTAGTTTCGCCGGAGGTAACTGCCGGACAATAAAAAAAATCATAATAAAGTCAAATGCTCAATATGTATTTTACGTCAGTGAAAAAAGTAATATATGTTACGATCCTTTTTTAAAGACCAGAGAGGCAAAATAAGGATATCTTCGAAAAACTATCCAACAATTATTTTCCGTGGCAACTATGTAAATTAACTGAATGAATTTTAAATAAAATGCATATCTATAATTACCGTAACTGCAACTATGTTGTTCGCTTGGCGTTCCGGTAAATCTTTCTTCTGTTCTGTATGTTAACAGCTCGTTAATTCTCCACTCTTGTATTTCTTTACGTAAGATAGTAACTGGATCCTCGTTGTGTACGTCGTGGTAACTTTTATTTTCGATAGATTCAACGTTTGACTTGACTCTCTTCACTCTTAGTGTCTCATTTTGTAATGGAACGTTCTGTTCGCGTTGATATTTCGTCGCTATATTAGTTGTCCATTTCCCTCGTTTAGATAGTAACGGTTTCGCAGGCATTTTCGCGGATGACTTTTGTCGCGAATAATTAAAGGGATGTGACCTTGTACTGGTTAACGAATTCATATCTTTACTGTTTGAAGGGCGGTTACGATTATCGTACGACATTTTTAAAAGTTATTCGATGATCTAATTTTCGTTTGGATGTATTTAGTCACTTTTCTGAAAGGTTTTAAAATAGCGACGTGCACAAAAATTAAAAGCAGTATTCGCATTAATATGTGTATGGAACTATACTATTTTGAATGTAAAATAGAAAGACGTATAAATTTTACGTAAGAAGTTAGTGAATTTATAAATGCACATAAGTATGCTGATAAACGAATATCACAAATAGAAATCCAATGTCATCTACAGAATGTACTAGTCATTGTGACACAAATTTATTTATCAAACTATGTATTAGATTATCTCGAAATAATATTATAACCAAGTAACAATGAAAACTACACGTTTATTTACTTACTGAGCGTCCTATCGATCAATTTGCGATAGCATTGCTGCTAAGAAGGTGAACAGACATAACAGCAATAACGTCAACGAGGCATTGTAACTTATGACTAACAGAAAAGAAAAGAATTTGGTTGGCAACATTTCACGATATTATAAAATTTGTCTAAAATATTGTATAATGGAATCGATGATCACAATTTTAATATCGTACGGACAATTAGAATATTAATACTGTCAATTTTGCTTGAATTATGTTCAAAGTATTAAAATGTATCTTCGTAAACGTGTCGTATTTAAAAATTTCGTTTCTTTCATGAATGCCAATGAACGCTCGTTCGTCATCTATTTTTCTGACTTTACTATACATATCAACTACATGCTCTATAAACAATAATATGAAAAGCATTCTAATGCTTATACTAACGTATATTTAACTATTAACAATAACTAGTTTAGGTGCTTTTTAAGTAATAAAGAAGAGCTTCGACAGATTCCGGGCACAAACTTACTTTGACCGAACACCTTGATCAACTGCTAACATAAAACACCTGGCTTTTCTGTATAGCATTGTCCCTCGTGTAGTTCCATTGATAAATACCGATTCATAACAGCGAAACACTGTAACATTAAATTTTATAATTTTATATCAAGAATAGTGGAATATTTACGGATGTATAATACAATAACAAAATAAACTGTATTTACGTAGTTTTAAGATCGAAAACTTCACTCCGATTATTAATATGTAAGAGTAAAAATCAGGTGATTTCTCATCAGAATACACGTATTACTATTTATTTCTATATATAATTCTACATATACACATTATAAATATATATATACGCATATATATTCGTATGAATGTAAACCTTTGATGTATATAGCGATACCATACATGTATATGTATACACGTGCTTTACGAGCGATTTTACTCTAACCTAAAAAGAATTCACGCCAAAGTTTCTTTCGTGAATTTAACGTATATTGATAATTTGTGTAATTATATTTTAGTGAAAGACACATCGCTACAATGGCAATGCAAGTTCCTGCAAATATGGATCCAGAGCAGGCAATGAATATTAAATCTGTATGTATTTGCAGTTTTTCGGTACATAAGTAATCGTATTTGAAAATTCGTTCATGTAAAAATTAATTTCAGTTTAAAGTATGAAACATATATTAATAGTGAATGATTTGTTTTAATAATCTCTCATATGGAACTTAAGGAATTATAAATCTCCTTACGTAATGAGAAAAAACAATAATTGATGACTTTGAAATTTCTTTAATTCTTCAGGTTAAAGATTTCGTGGCATCATATAATAAATTAATAGAAGCTTGTTTTCTTGACTGCATAAACGAGTTTACTACAAGAGAAGTCAAAGCAAAAGAAGAAACCTGTGCCCTGAATTGTATGGAAAAATATCTGAAGATGAACCAAAGAATATCACAACGTTTTGAAGAATTTCAAATGCTTGCTAATGAAAACATACTTGCAGCTCAGAAAAAGATAGAGGGTGCAAAAGCTTAAAAAATTAATTCAATAAATTATTTTTAATATTTTATAATTTTTCCTTCATTTAATTACTGTAAGAATAAAATATAAGGATATTAATGCAAGTAAAAAGAAGCATAGTAATAAAAGATCAATAGAATCCTTACGATACATAATGTAGTACATGATGTAAGAAGTAAAAAATAAAATTATTAAAATAATTGACATGTAAGTATATCCATTCTTTATCAGTTTCATAAGCAACTGTTTAGAAACTCCTATATTTAAACGTATCTAATCACATCTAAATGTAATATAAAAATGTACATTAAATATTTTAATTTTTAATATAATGTGTATATATATATATATATATAATTATTTAATTATGAATGATATATTATACATAAGAGCACCGTATTTATATAAATAATTTATTTCTGGAAACAAATTGACATTAAAGATTTGGCTTAACTCGACTTTGAATGATCAAAATCATGTAATTTTGATTTCGCATGAATTTCAATATCCATACTATTTGACTCCCATTTAAAGTGAGGAAATTGTAAAGGTTGCACCGAATCTAATTTCGATGTAGGGCTTATGATTTGACTGAAACTTGTACTAGAAATTTGATGGTCTGGATTATGTATTATTAATTCCGAGTTTGGTGAATTCGGCGGAGTTCTTCTTAATCTCTTGTAACCAGAAAATCGATTAAGTGACACTTGATCTACACACACGGCTTGTGTAGTATGTCGAGTTTTATACAAAATAGGACAACCTAAATCTCCTTTTAAACTTAAGCTGTATAAGTTTGCAAGTCGACGAAGTTTCTCTCGCTCAGGTTGCCGCATGGGGTGCAGTCGAAGCTCATTTTGCGTCGGATCTTGTAAAAATCTGGATACTTTCTCGTTGGCAGATGTGATAATTGAATATCCAGGCTTGTTATCAACGTGCCGACGACCAGCCCGAATTTCTCTTCCACTAAGACCTTCTCGAAGTCGTTGAATTTTCTTTCTATAACTTTTTCTTGTTTCAAGCATTGTATGTTCGAAATTACCATGTAACATCATTTGTAACGGCGACTCTGTATTAACTTTATCTTCACTAGTATTTTCAGCATCGTCCCACCAACTTGGTTCCCGAATCCAGTCAGATTGTTCATCATCCCCTAAGCATAAAAAATTTACAGAAATTATATTTTCAATTTGAGTAAGTATTTTAATCCAATACCTTCGCGGTCTTCGTCATTTGTAATAAGTCCAGCTTCAGAATCACTGGATGAAATACTTGAACTGGATATTCTAGAGCAATCAATGCCATCCTCAGTTTGTACTTTAACACGATTTTTTGATTTTGTGTTTTTATCCGTCTTCGGTGATCTCATTTCACAATCCGTAGACCGCTCCCTACAAGACCTCTTGCGCTTTCCACACCTATCAGAAAATTATCATTTTGTAATGTGTAAATTTCTATTAAGTCTTTTTCTACGTGTACAATTAAACGTGTCGTATTACCATATCGTCCCATATTTATTTTTACAATCAGTACGAAGAATTCTCTTTTTATTTGCAAGAGTCGCGGACACTGCAACAGCTTGAGAAGTTGAGGGATTAGTATCAGAGTCAACCGCCATTCTCTTAAATTTTCGTTTACGTCTTGGATTTACTCTCGGTACAAAATTTTCGTTAACCGAATCGCTTTCGATATTGCTAGCATTATTTGAATTAGATAAACGTGCAAATCTTTTCATTTGATTTGCATCATCGCTGTCGGACTGATACTTCGAGACGGTATTACTTTTTTGGATATGAATATCGCAAATCGAAGATGAACTATCATCTGATTGTTTGTTCAAATGAAGAGAAGCTGAAATAAAGTATAATTATTTACAAATTATTTTCAGGTTTTATTGCTGTTCTTTGATGTACTTGTTTTGCAATGTTAACTTTTAGCTTAGTATTTCGTTACCTTGTCTGCCCTTTTAATTAATAATTGTTAACATGCAACAAATACATAAAATGTTTGTCACTCTACAAAGTGTTAATTTTTTTAATTAAATCAAATTAGAATGGATTGTATTTCGAATTGAAGGAAAGACATATTGACTTTGTGCTTACCTGTATGCATATAATTGCGGAAGATGCAGAATTTCCTAAACTATTAACATTGTTAAGTAATATTGTTTACAAGTCTACAATAAACAGAAAAAGGCAGAACAACTATCAGAAAACTGACAACTCCAAAAGTTTTCACCATGTATGCATCACGTCACGTCACAGATCTCCTTTATTTTGCTGTAGTGATAGATAGTGTAAGTGTATGCGTGTGTGTGCGCGCGACCATTTGCTATTTATCACTGCGCTTGTGCACTCTGGATAAGAAGGAGCAAGCATAATTGGTTATGGTTCACCTAATTTTATCACAGGCTGTGTTCTAAAATTGTACAAATATTTTTACAGGAATGTACATAAAAAAGGAGTTAATTTAACATTTTTAAGAAGTCCTTATTAAATTCTAAGATGTAAGATGATTATATATTTATGTGCGGCATCGCAGCAGCATTGAGAGCATCATGCCTGATGCCACATGATGCCACAGTATATTCTGATATTCAGTATACTGTGATGTGATCAACTGATCACGCACTATGCATTGGAAACACGGCTTGAATCAGTGATGGGCATATCGTGGGAATTCTGGGGAGTGCGCAGTAGAGGTTACTAACCACAGTCTAGACCGGACCTATTTTGTGCAGTTTAAAAGTACCATTAGATCCTGAGTATGAAGACAGGCTTCGAATTTAAGAAATCTTTTTAAGAATAATTTTGAAAATTACATATTACATTATCTGACTGCATGTTATTTGATATTGTTTAGTTTATTTAAACGTACAAATAATGTTTCTCTGTAGTGCGCCCAATTCTGTCAAAAGTTGAACATTATTCACGGACTTGTGGTCACGCGACATCCCTAGTTGTGACATCACTCGCGCATGCTCTCAGGCATCTAGTTATAAAAATTCGCACGATGTGCCCATCACTGGCTTGAACATATTTTTTTCAGCCATTTCCGGTTGTGCGTTATGGACGCTTCGTGTCTGTCCGAAGGTTTCGTCCAGAGAGGAACTCTCTAATTTCGTCGTTTTTTCATTTACCAGTGAGAAACGATCTCCCGAATATATTCGGAGTATGAATGCGGAACGATAGTGTAATGAGGGACTGCTCGATATCATATCGGAAGAGTATAATCCTGGCGGTTGTGTAAATATCGCGTAGTGGTGTTTGCGCGTACACGTTATGCGCATACGCGAACAGATGAGCGCGGGATTGTGGTACTCGGACTGACTCAGACGCGAGGGGACTGAACGAACTGTAGTGTGATCAACTTGTGTGCAGAAACTTTTGATGGATATTTTTATGAAGTGACAGAGGACGAGAAGTCAACGTTCGTTACGCGTCCGATTTTTAAAGTACGTAGTGTCGGCGTTTGGTCCCAAAGGGGCCACACAATGGACGGTGCCAACGTTAATGGCGGGAATGCCGATGAGGCGGGCGAGAATCCTAACCTAGAAATTAGCAGTATGCCGGACCCACAGGGGATACAAATTAAAGTGGATGTGGCCGAGGAAATGGATGGGCAGGAGGTCAACGGCGACATAAAAGGTGCACTAAAGAGGGGTATGTCACTATATGTTAATAGAATGCATAAGCTTAAGGTCAGTTTTATTAGTATTGTTGATAGTAATAAACTGTTATTTACAAAAGGACTCAAACGCAAGCATTCAGAACAAGATGACCTTAGCTCAGAGGAATCCATGTTCAATGGATTCGATTTACAGGGAGACACTGAATTACAACCAGGAAGTCATATCTTGAAGAAATTAATTGGTATTGATAATTATCATATATTAGTCAAACAATGAGCTGTGTGCTATTGAAAGTTGTTTTTAAACTTAACAATGTGAGAAAAATGATTTTTATGATTTATTGTAGCTGAAGCTGAACTAGCAGAGTCACAATTAGTAAAACGGTTTAGATTCAGTATAAAAGATCTTGAAGGTAAGAGAGATGATGAAGATTCTGATGATAATAGAATATATGATTCTGATGTGAATAAAATGAAGAGAGAATCTGATAAATCTGAAACAGATTCTATTGGGATACCAAATACTATAGATTCAGAATCAGAAGTACAAAAAGTGGATGAAGCATCAGTTAAATCAGCAAATTCGGCAGCTAGTAGTCCCACAATGAAATCGAAAGTTAATCGAGCATTGCGTGCAATTAGTCCAGCAAGCCCATCAAGTCCATCAGGGAAGCAAAAACTAGTTGTTGACATGTCAAATCCAGCGTTTAAAGAACCTTTTAAGTACGGTTGGAAGAGAGAATTGGTATTCAGAGCAAGTACCGATCCTAGTCTTAAAAAGATGGCTGATATCTATTATTATACACCAAAGGGCAAAAAAGTTAGAAGTTTTAGAGAAGTTGCAGAATTTCGTAAGTACCGTTTACAAATATAACTTATTAGTAGTAATACGATATGAACTAAGTATAGAACTGCCTTTTTTTCAGTTAATACAAAAGAGTTAACTATTGATAATTTTACATTCTTCAAAGAACCAATCGGTCTTGACGATCCGGAAAAGGAAATAATTCGGAATGCAAAGAAGTTGAAGGTATATGGTTTCCTACTTAATTCTTTGAATGTATTGAAAACTGCTTAAAATTGTGTAAAATTAATTTCGATTCGTATACAGGGAACTGCAGTGTCTACTACGCCACCAAGGAGAGGTCTCGGATATAAGAGAGGAGCACCTGGTAGGAAAACTGTAGAAGAACCTACTCCAGTACAATCACCAGTGGCTCCGAAAGCTACTGTTGTTAAGTCTCCAAAAGCTGCTCCAACAGCATTTAAAGTGAAAGTGCCTGCAAAGAAAACTCCACAAATAAGTATGCATTTATATCAAGATCATCATTTCATTTATATACACGTATTTTTCACCATTTTTAGCTCATGTTATATAACGTTTTGTAACATATTTCATATCTCACTTAGTATTGTACGTATTTTTTTAACAATTTGGAAACTTAGCAGATAATAAGCATGTTCTATGTATATCCAGCTTAGACTAAACAGACGTTTTTGTTTGTAGTCTTTTGCCTGACATATTTATGAGGATTTTTGTTTTTATGTGCATAGCAGAAATAAAGTCACCTCCTCAAGAGAATGAAGCACCTCCACCTCAGAGAACTACGAGTACGAGAAGAAGTCAACTGCCTGTAGAAAAGCCACCGCCTCCTAAGCAGAAGAGACAAGTAACGTGAGTACCTGATTATTTTAAATGTTTTCTTTACTTTTAGTACGCAAGTATGACTGAATTGCAGTATTCGAGAATATTCTAAATGGTTGGTAGTTAAATATGATAGTAATCATGTTTAATATGCTTTGAAAGGGTCCAATGAATAATTTACAGCATGTGCATTTATTACAGTTCTTTTATGAGAAAACGAATTCGTGCCTGAAATTTTTATATTTTATACATATGTATACAATGTATGATATATGAAAATACATTAAGTAAAACAAATTGTACCGTGTACAATTTTGTAATAATTATTTTAAAAATTATTGGTCCTTAGATGTATTTCGTAGTTGATCATCTTTTGTACGAAATTGTTATAATTATTCTAATATAAATTTTCCCTCAGTAAAATAATCTATTCTAAAAAAAATACTTTACAATCAAAAACGTGTATTAGAGCAAACCTTGCTTTTAAAGTCTCAAAATGCATGCTATATCGCTAATACATATAATCACGAAGTTCGACGTTATTCTCAAATAGTTGAAATGGTTCCTTTGATATTTTTCATTAATTATATCCTCGTTTATCCTTCTGATTCCTAAATCCTTCATTTTAATTTTGTGTTTTATTCCTTGATCCCCCCCCAATCAACGCACATCTTACAGGCCCAAAGTTCAAGAACCATGCAGTATAAGGTGTTCAACAAGTATGGGATTGATACCGAGTTTGCAATGTCGCGTCTGTCTCTGTTTATATCATCCTGAGTGTGTTGGCGGTATGGAATATGCAGGGAGTGACGATTATGTTTGCAAGGTAGGTTTTTCTGGAACGAAAGCTTTTGTATTTTTGTTCTTAACTTACTAGACGTTTTTGTATCATGTCGTATTATGCAGTACAATTTAGTTTCTTTAAATCTTCAGTTTCGTTTTAAGTTTTATATTTACATATTTCTTAATAGAGTTATGTAATATTTGTAATAAGTTAAAAGAAGTACTACTGACGCTGGCAATAATTATAGTTTGGTTAAATGTGATTAACTTTATTTTTGTAGAATTGCCAGCAGGATACTAAAGAATCTCATCAATCTCAAACAAATCAATCTCTTACACCTCCTCCATTGATACCAATCAGTATGCTAGGTGCGCAAAATGTTAAACCGAAACAGCATCAAGTAAATTCAAGTCCGCCGAAGCTTCAGAGAATTCCGAAATCCGACATTGCAGATTCACAATCGCGAAACGCTGTGAAGTCCTCGAAAACATCTTCGACAATGTCTTCGCATTCTTCCTTGAATTCCGATAAAAAGGAAAGTAGTTGGTTCGCTCAGACAGAAAATGAATTTCTGCAAAGCCATGATGGTACTATGCCGAAACCAGCCCAGAATATTGCTTTGATGGGTGGCAGAAGATATATTGTTGTACCAAAAAATAACGCAATGGCTGTCCAGCCGGCAATAACAGCAAAACCGGATAAAATTGGTGATAAACCTCCTCCTGTATTGCAGGACGGTACACTTACTGATATATCAAATGCTATAGACAACTCAAAGATGCGTGGTTCTTTATTGGCAAAGTCATTATCAAAAGACTTCGATAAAGCAATCAACAGAGATATAACAAGAGATGTATCGCATGCAGAATTTTCGCCGTGTTCTGTAACAGGTGATACTGAAGAAACGTGCACTAATATCGACAAGTCACAGAACGATCTATCTTGCACAACAGATTTTACATTAGAAACCGAGAGACTGAAGAGTTCTCAATTACCTGAAACGAAGACTGTCATAAATAATTCTCGGACGACTAGGGCATGTAATTTGGGTACTGTTAAAATAAGTAGCAAGTAAGTAATTGTTTCTCAAACACACCTGCATATTTCTTTTACATCCTTTTTTAATATTAATTATTCCAAATAAGTTAAGGCAACTCTCTTTTGAGGTTTTGGCAGTTGCTTTGTACATATTGTATTTACAAGATATACGAATTTTATATCATGTTACGTTATATCATATATATCTCTTGAAAAGTTTTATGAATCTTATAATACTATTTCCATATAGGGAATGGTTCTGTAGGACCATTCGTGTAAAAACTTTTTTACTTCAAACAAAATTTATTTAAATAGTATTGTAAATGCAATATATACTGACGTTTATTATATTTGGAAATATAAAAGTTCGACGTGAAAAATGAATTTGATTTTATCTTGTGATCGAAGCACACTGCCTTAGCTTCTTAGAAATGCGGCCGAAAGTTTTGAGACACGTGAAAGATGATCAATCACACATCGTTGGTTCTTGCAGGTATTGTGTAATTGTAGTATCAATGTAAAAATTTAATTGCTGGCCTTTTCTAAAAATGTATGCAAGGAAGTCGGTTAATATTTGCATGTTATTTACGTTCATACTACAATTACGAATACAGCTACTGATAAGTGCTTCAGTGGAAAAATCTAATTCATTTTTACTTTTTATATTTACAGATATAAAGACATGTGCGAGCTGAAACACAAAAAAACTCTTAGTGCGTTTTCCCGAAAGCGTCCCAAAATCCCTGCTCATCATCCTCGCCAGTTATTTATGTTTGTTTTTGTTTCTATATCATATTTCAATCTTTAAAAAGGGCCTTTAAACCTTTGAAATTCTTTTCAAAGGATTCTTATTTGTCTCTTTTTATTTCTAACTACGCAAAATTGTTGGCATTACCGTTGTAAGTCATTGGTCCTTTGAAAGCCTCTTTAAAAATTACAACATTTTTTCATTAACATTAAATATAATTACAAAGATGTCATATGATAAAAACATTACTCTTCCATTTAAAATAATCGATATGGATGTATCGAAAAAGATGCATTGATGTTATAGGCCAATATTCTTGAAAGAAATCATCTAAAGTATTTTTATTTTATCACTTTCAGGAGGAAACAAAATCAATTAGAAAACGAACAAAATCAACATTTTATGGATTCAGTTTGTGCTGGATACCATGCGCTCTTACGTATCTTCCAGTATCTTAAGGTTCAAGAATTACTCAGAGCTGCGAGAGTGTGTAAAATGTGGCGAGACTTAGCAGCGCACCCTTCCCTGTGGAAGACTGTGCGGATGAAGAACAGTCAAGTGACAGACTGGGATGGTTTAGCGGATACGTTACAAAGGCGCGGCACTCAACACTTGGATCTCCGAAAAATGCTCGTGGCTGGCGAATCCGATAGCATTTGGAGAAATTTTCTATTAGTAATACCACGCGTAACCAGTCTCGTCAAATTAGAATTATGTAAATGTCCTGTGATGGTCGTTGAGGAAGTCATTAAGTGCTGTCCTCAATTAGAAGTACTGAGTGCAATGTCGATAAAATGTGACTCGTTGAACTTGGAATCGATTGGGAATCTTAAACGTTTACAAGAATTAAGGCTGAAAGCTATCAGCGGAATGTCTTTGCAAGAAGATCTCACACCCTTGCAGGAACTAACACAACTAACACAATTGGTAATTATTTTTGTCTTCAATTTTAATTAATTAATCGTTCTCTGTTTATTTAAATTGAATATATATATTTCAGAGTTTAACATCGGTCAAGGAACTTGGGAAGAAAAAGATTGATATTATACAGACATTAGTAAATCTGGAAACGTTAGAACTGGGCGAATGTTCCGATTTTCCAGATAAATTTGGTACAACAGTTTTAATTAAGTTACAGAAGCTAGAACGCCTTAGACTTGAGAAAGGACAAGGCTCGTGCTGTACGTTTGACATTCTGGAAGGTGTATCCAAATTACAAAATCTGTGTCAGATGGAATTGGTCAATTTTGATGTAAAGAATGGCTTTGACAAGTACCTTGCAAATTGCAAGAATATTAAAAGGCTGTTGATCATACCCACTTACATATCTCAATCGGCAACGTCTAACAACATGGTGCTCGGAGGTGTTACCGAATTATCGAACAATTTAACGCATTTCGTATGGGGCGTTACATTGGAATTACTCAGGGTTACAGAATTATTCGTTGATCAATGTAATTTAATGAGTAAACAAGTTACTGGCGATTCGATACCAGTCTTGAAACCGGTACCCTGTTTGAAACTAATCGAAGACGTTGAAGATGAGAACGACAATCAAAAAGGTATTTCAGGCATAAATACGTATATTTATAAAAATTGGTACATATGTTTACGGTTTCATTGAATTATTGTTCATTTTTTTAGGGGATGATAAACAACAACCAAATTTAACAAATCCTCAAGTTGATATATTACCATTGCCTCAACTTCAGAAACTTTTACTAACTGCATTGCCTAAAACGAGAGTTAAAATTTTGAAGATCCCTTTCCATGCTACGTGGCGACAGAGCATTTCAGATACTGCTACACAATAGGAAACAGTAAACCTAAAGTGTATGAACGTATATACTAAAAGAATAAGGACAGAAAATATCTGAAGAGCAGAATTAAACATTTTGTAAAGGTGATTCCATAGTGTCTGCACAATTTATTCCAATAGTTGGAAATTGGATAAAAGATAATTTAATATTTATGTACTGTGTTTTACTACCTACAGGTATTTTGTGTCCTTATTCTTCTTTTACAATTCCCGTTGCGTGATATGATTGATACACACTACAGTAACCGTAAACATACAAAGTTTTTAGTGGTAAAAGGGGGACCATGAATGCATCGCGTGCTATTTTGACTGCAGGGCAAAATTCCATGAGACGCTGGTATCCTTGCGCAAGTTATTTGATAATTTTTTAAATTTCGTATTTCGTACTTAAAATTCTTTAAATGTAACGTTTGCAAAATTAACTTGGTATACTGTAACGTGTATCTAGCGGATGAAACAAACTGAAGGGGACAAGAATGCATTGGGGAAAAAGAGAAAGCTTAATACAAATATTTATATAAAATTATGTATTACGAAAATGTCGCACACATCTTTTAAGAGGTTAAGGTATATGCTGATTTTCTCAATTTTTCAGAGCATAGACCTTTTGTGACATATGTAAAAGCATTGAGTCAAAGGAAAACAATAGAAGTTGTAGTTTTACGTGATACATTTCTATATAAATTTCTAATGACGTAGCAGAGAAAATTAAGTCTATAAGGCTCTATCTAGAAATTAGACTGTATAAATAATGATATATAATATTGAATTAATTGTACGTGTATCTTTAATATTTAAGATACGATTTTTCCGCTGCAAAGAAGTATGAGGCTTGCATCGAGTAATGTAGAATGTGTAATGTATATACATATATGGTTGTGCGTATGCCATTATTATATAATATAACGTAAAGACGTAGTGATTTACCTGTACATTTGTCGGTACACGTTGTATAACTGCGAAAAATTATCTTGGTTTTCTCTCTTTCTCCTTTATCTCTCTAATTTCATTGTCATAAATGATATATCAGTAAAATAAAATTTTATATTGAAATAATTCAAATAGAAATTGTGTACATCAATAGATAATTTCAAAATGTTCTAATCATATAAGGATTGACTTGCGAATAGTGATAAGCATATCAGTTGAACATTGATTGTTAATCGTATTGTATGTCAGTTTGTTATTCATCTTTAGGTACATCGCACTGTTCATCTATGGTTCTGTTACTTTAATTGTCATACTTTGCAGCGGAAAATTTCACTTGTTTTATTGCGTTTAGTTGTACACAAACTGAATAATTTATAAACATTAAGGGGGTTCTAAAAATGTACTTGTAGTAAAACAATTTAAATATATGAAAAAAATATTTTTTACGTTGAATAATGAGATGTGGATATTAT